TAAATCCAGATTAGAACTGGTCTGATAAATGCTGAGCTGGGTGTGTGTAAATGTGGGTTGATTAGCATTTGGAACACAGATTCCCCATCATGCAGTGCTCCCCTGCTTCTCTGATCCCAGAATTCACTGTGGTTTCTGCTTCGGGCTTTCTGTTCTCCATCTCTCATGTAAATGAATGGTCATCTGGTTCTATCTCAGATGCAAATGAGACCTAGGGCAGTTGTTTCACTCTTGTCACCCTTATCTGGAGGGTTTTAGGTGTGTCTCCCACTGCATCTTAATCAGTTTCTGTTTAGGTGGTGGGGGGGGAATTCTTTGTGAGTCAGACAGTCTGTGTCCTGTGTCAGGGTTCCCCAACAACATAGAGCTGAGAGGTAACAGTGCCCTGGGGCCTCTGGTTGTGTCTGCCTGGGACAGATGGTTTGGATATGGATGATTTTGCCTCAGGCAGGGGTTTGGACTAGATGACCTCTCAGGTTCCCTTACAGCCCTTCTTCTTTGTGATTCTGAGGAATCTATTTTAAAGCACTTGGGGGAGAACAAGATGATCAGGGACACAGTATTGCCAACACTCATGATTTTTGGTATTGTTCTTAAAGTTATGCTTCAGGAATATGAAAAACTTAACTCTTTATATATAATTCCCCCCCATATTATAAAAGCCTTACTCTGTCTGTCTGTCCGTAATGCTTTATTCACAGTCTGATTGGTTGTCTCGGCAGCCAATGACAATGCTTACTGAAACAGCCAATCAGAGTGGTCTGTGCTGACAGAAGTGCCACCATGACAGTGGGGACTGAGGGGCCGGAGCAGCATTGGCCTGCCCCCTCCTAGCCCTTCAGTCCCTGCTGTCATGGCAGCACTGTCCCCCAGCATGTCCGGAATGGGGTGGTGAGGCCAGCAGTGCTGGCCTTGCCCCCCTCCATGGCCCTGTTCCTTGGAGGCAGAGGGGAATATGGGGGCAGGGCGTGGAGAACAGCAAAATTCCATACCGTTGAACATGCTCAGGATATATTAAAGACTAGCCAATTGCCCATCAAGAATGACTGGTGGGGGGGGAGTGGAGCCACAGGGCCAGAGGCAGAGCGACAGCAGCATGGGGCATTGGGTGGTACCACTCCGTTACTGCCCCTCCCCTGTCATTCTTGACGGGCAACTGGCATGTGTGTATGAAAGAGCTAAGTTTTTCACATTCCTGAAGTGTAGACTTTAAGAAGAACACCAAAAATCATGAGAGTTGGCAATTCTGCTAGCCATTATGGATTTGCCAAGAACAAGTCATGCCTGACCAACTTGAGTTCCATCTATGATAATGTAACTGGTTCTGTGGATAGGAGAAGAGCTGTACATTTGATATACCTTGATTTAAAGGCTTTTGACAGTTTCCCATGACATTCTCATTAATAATCTAAGGAAATACAGACTAAATGAAAGTACTGTAAGATAGATATACAAGTTGTTGTGTCATTGTACTCAACAAGTAGTCATCAATGGTTCAGTGACTAGTTAGGAGAATGTATCAAGTGTGGTTCCCCAGGGAGTCTTATCTTGGGTCTGGTATTCTTTAACATCTTCATTAAAAATTTGAATGATCAGATTGAGTTCATGCTTAGCAAATTTGCAGGTGATAGCAAATTGGCTGGAGTTGCAGATACTCTGGAGGGTTTGGGCTGGGACCCAGAATGACCTGTATAACCTGGAGTAATGGCCCAAAATCAATCAGACAGAATTCAACAAGCACACAAGTACAAAGTCCTGCAGTTAAGGTGGAATAATTGCATAAATGAGTACAGACTGGGGAGTGATTGGCTAGGCTGTAGTACTGGGGGTTGCAGTATTTTAAGAAGCTGAATATGAGCTAATAATGTGAACTGGTTGCAAAAAAACAAAACCTGATGGCATACCTTACATTAACAGGAATGCCACTTGCAAAGGGAAGTAATTCTTCCCTTTATTGGTCACTGGTGAGGCCTCATCTGGAGTACTGTGTCCATTTTTGGGCCTCATACTTGGAATCTACCAGAGTGGCCAAAATGATTAGAGGTGTTGCCAACATTACTTATGAGGAAAGGTTGATAGAGCTAGGACTATTTTCTTTAGGGAAGAGAAGAGTGAGTTGGGATTTGGTAGTCTTCTAATATGTGAAGGTTGTAGGGGACAGGACTGTGGCAGTGACTTCAAACTGCAGCAGTGGAAATTGAGGTTGAAGATTAGGAGGAATTTTCTCACTGTGAGGGGGTGGTTAAACATTGGAGCAGGATACCTAGTGAGGTTGTGCATTATTAATCCCTGGGAGTTTTCCAGAGTAGGGTAAACAGACACTTGATTGAGATGGTTTAGGGATAATTCTGTACTGAGTAACCATCTTGACTAGATGACCTCATGAGTTCCCTTCTAGTCCTATGATCCTGCGATCTTACAACTTCTGTGCAAGGTTTCAGAAAGATTCAAGTTGAGCTAAATGCTTATGTTTCCTTCATCATCCTGACCAATATTGGTACGGGGGGAAAACAGGGTGCAGGGAGGATTGGTAGCAATACTTTGAGCAAACTGCTGATGTACCAAAACAACTTAACTAAATGAATTCAGTGATTTAATTCATTACTGTTCCTGTAGTCTTTAAATTTATTAGACGTACTGTGGCTGATGGGACAGAGGGTCCAATGTGGTTGTCATACTCCAAGGGCATATTATCATACTTCTTTTATTAAAATTTTACCTGTGCTATTATGGGGTGGATTTATCTTCTGGTTTGAAATAAATGGTGACTTTGGTGAGGTAGATGTCATTGTGAAATAATTTATGTAGAAAGACTATTCTATTCTAGAAGATGCTTTTTGGAGCAGTGGCTATCATTTATCTTGTTTATACCATGACTCGCACTGTGGTGCAAAATCTGGTGTAGATGCTACCTCAAGATAAGTGATATAATACTTATCTGTCTATTTTGTGTGGTCTTCAGTAGCGATGTTTGAGTACCTCAGCAGACGAGATTGTATTCTGACTAGAATCAAGCTAATATTTCCAGGATTAGATGGTCTGAAATCCATTAGTATATAAATGTTCAAGCAATTTACCTAACAGAATCGCAATAATTCTTTACTGATTTAAATCTGCTTTACATACCTTTATGGCGACGAACTACCTTGGAACATTTCTACCTACCTGGATAATCTTACTCTTGTGTTTCTGTTAGGAGTGAGTTAAAACGCTCTGAATCTCTTTGGACTGAATACTGTATGAAGTTAAAAGACACAGAGGAGAAGATTATGAAAGATAAAAAACACCTTGAAGAGTTGGTGAAGCAAAAAATAGCGATCCAGGAGGACACAAAATCTTGGAACAGTAAAGTGAGTTTTGCATATTTATAAACAAACAAGTAATTGAATTTACTTTACTGAAAAAAAAGAATATTTTGTATGTTCAAAAGTTAGATTCTTCTGCAATCTGAAATGAAAATATTGATTTTTTGAGTGAACCAAGAATGTTTGAGATACTATAATAATTGTATGGAACTTTTGAATATATTATAGTAACTATAGTTTGTAACACTGTTTATGAAAAGTAATAATACAGCGACTGATAGTTCTTTAAGTTACCTCTGCATTCTTGCACTTGACTACACTCCCACCAAGTACTGCCAAACTTTAAACTTTCTGTGGGGCTGCATAAGTGTAGTCTAGGGTCTGGAACATTCAAAGTTTAAATTACAAGTATTATACTTCTAGAGTGATTTTTGTTTTACTGCAACATTTATCTTTATTTTTGTTTTCTGCCTTATATAGTTGATTTACTATAGTTTTGGAACCTTTTAAAATCTAAGCTGTAGATTCTCATGCTGATAAGCTAACAATTAAAAATCTTGATCACATTCGACTTAAAATGTACTGATATAGTACACTATAAAAGATTATAAAATTTACCAATATAAAGGTCACCTATTTAATTATTTTATCATAGAGAATAAAAAGAGAAGGGAGCAAAAAAAATGTATTTGTTACCTAATTCATATTCAAGGGCGGGGGTGGAACGATTTCTTCCAGAATCCAGAACTTCTTAAATAAATATATTGTGTACAATCTATAAAAACATTGTAATTATAGTCTTCTCTGAGCTACATACATCTCCACGTGGGGAGCCATTTGAAGAAATTATGTGCATTGATCTTTGGCTTATCCATCCTGGAGACCTCAATGTGGCTAATTTGATTAGCTGTATACTAGGAGCATAGCTGTAAACTTTTTAGCAGAAACTAAAATGGCAAATGATATTTTCTTATGTGATGACATGCTGCACTTATAGCTCTGATATTTAGAGGCTTTTAAACCCCCCCCCCCACCAAAACCTGCATTTTCAAGATATTCTTGTAATTGGGAAATGAGGGTGTGGATGAGTGTACATTTTGGCTGCCTTAAAAATATAGGGGAGCTGCTTCTTGGAAGTACATATGCTTATTACAGGCTAACTGCTTTTATAGTCCTGTAACTATACAAGTTCCTCTGTCATCCTAATTCTGACACTGAATGAAGCAGGGTTAAAATTGGAGTGGTATTGTCATAATTCTGTCACCACCGTATTGTGCAGGTGTAAAAATCATGTTTATTGCACTTCCTTTTAGGCTGCATCTTGTTGGTTTGCTGTATACTACCTTGCAGCAACTAAGAGCGAGATCCAGAAAAGGATTACGTGTGATGTTGCTCAGCATTGCCACAGCATTGCCACACCTACCTATAGGTGCCAAACTCCAGGAGTGGCATTCACTGAAATTCAGTTTTACAGTTAGGCACCTAAATCATGTCTTTAGGTTCAGGTGATTGGCTCACTATTTTTTTAAAGTACGGTGGGGTAGTGCTAGAGGTAGGAAAAAAGTGAAGGGATTTTGTTTTTAAGATTCATAGGGAATAAAGTGCCAATTAAAAATAAATAGAAATATTTGTCAGTAACTGTCAAACTCAGTTCACAATCAGAGGTAAACATGACATTTTCTTTGTAGTAGATAAATTGTTTATTGAAATGTTATTTTAAAATGTTATAAATATATGAAGTTTTCATTTATAGTAATGTTTTATATATTACTTATGTTTTAATAATTGTGATTTCAATTTGTCATGTCAGTAGGTTATTAACAAAATATTGCACTAATCGATGGTTTCATCTCAGTAGACTTCCAGTTTTGAATATAATCTTTTAGTAATTTATAGGGTAAACTATTTAATATGCATTTCATTTAGTTATCCTGAAGAAAACTAAATTCGAAGAGCAGAAAAGTAACTTTCTGCATATGCTAAGGATACTATTTATGATTATATGCAATTAGTTATAAGAAATATATGCCTAAGTCAGGGTAAAAAAATCTGAATGATAGAATTTTTTGGAAAGCAGCCATACTTTCAACTAATTCCAATTCAATAAAAGAGAAGTTAGACCACTTCATTCTGGAGGGATTTACTTTATAAATAAAAATGGACTTAAAAAATGTGCCCATTATTACGGCTTAAAGTTACCACTTAAGAGGGTAGACGAAACAACCATTGGCCCTTTCTGATTAGACTTCAGTAACAGCAGAATAAAAGATGGTACTGAGCTGGATATTAGCTTTTAAATTAACGTTTGTATCTGGCCACACTTCATATGGTATCTTCTGGCCCTGGGCTCTAACTAATAGGAAGGTAATTCTTTAGTTTTCAACCTTCTAATTAAGTGAAGGAGAAGTTTGGATGAAAGCCTTAGCACTACAATCAAGAAAGATGATTCTGGAAAGAACTGCAAAACTCAATGACTATAATCTATAGAAGGCATAGGGGAGATTTGCAGAAGAAAACAGAACACAAGGAAAAAAAAAGTATAGTATAGATCCAAATTTTATGGAGCTATAGGTAGTCTTTCTTGCCACAAGAAAATGAAACTTAATAAAGAAACAGCAATTTTCCTGTTTAATTTGGGGAATGTCTTCACTGTGCCATCATGTCACGTAACAGAGGTTTAAATGAATAAGATAGCATATGTGCAGGAATCAGTGACTGAGAAAGATGAAAACAGTAAGTAATAGTACTTCATTAACCTTAGGCACCATTTTAAGAAAAAGTTAAGTGTAGAGGACTCTTATTAGGAAGAATGTAAATGAGGACAGTGCAAGAAAACAATTACATTAGAGTACCCTATTTGTAAATAATTTTTAAAAAAAAATGACACACTGAAAGCAAACACTAAAACAAAAGATTTAGGGATAGATCTGAAGAGACGTAGGTGCTTGAAGCACAATACAGGCAGAATTCAGGCACCTAAATCTAAGTAAGTAATCCACAAAAACCCTATCTAACCATGTGTGTGCTTGAGAAATTTTAGATGCTTAATTTTTTCCAGCAAATAAGCATCCAAAATTCCTACTATTATACATGTCCAGAACTTTCTCCATCTTGGCTGAGCTGAATGTCTCAGTTCTGATCTTTATACTTAAGGCTATTTGGGGTTCACAAAGTAGGCATCCCTGTGCCTGAGTCCACCAAGAAACCCAGGCTGATAACCTGTCCTTTATTCTTCTGTTTCCTGATGGTGATGAAGCAAGTGTCACCACACACATTTTGGAAGCATGAGGGCCAGAAAGCCTGCAACAGGTAGAATGGTCAATGTCAATGAGAACTTGGGCACCTGAAGGAGGGCTGTAAGGGTATTCATAGATGATGTGGTTGGCCATGTGAGCTGTTTTCTGCTAATTTCCCTTTTCCCTTTTGGCTAATGGAAGCAGAGACCTGAATTGTGGTTGCTGCTGAAACTTAGGTCCCATTCACTCATCATACTGTTTCCGGAATTCTCTGCTGTGCAATGGATAGGAACAAGATACCTCTTACAGTGGCAAACAATAAAACCTCCCTGCTCTCCTGTTAGCAATGGCTGTACAGGTAGGTTTAGATGTTGCACAGAAGAGTGGGCATCATATATAGAACAGGACATTTCCTCACCTTAGTTGTGATTGTTGAACATATTTACAAGTCTGACTTAAGGCCAGGACGGTTTTTCCCAAATCTTGCCAAGACTATTTTCAGCCTATTTTCCTTCTTTGCAGAAGCCATTTGACCTTAGGAAGCAGATAGAACAGGATAGCATCTTAGAGATAAACTGATTCAGAGAGGCCATTTAACCTTATTTCGACTACTAGCTTCTGTTCTTCCAGTGGCTCAAATGTCCAATGCTACCAAATATCATCAGGAGTTTTAATTTAGAAACAATTCATTTTTGTCTTCCAGTGATAGTGAAGCAGAGCCATTATTGAATGAGGACGTGAAAGAGAGCTTTTGTTAGTCCTTTCTAGTGAGCTCTTGAAGACAGTTGTTTGCAAGCCATTCCTGGGAAATGTTTCTGTGCTATATAGTAGAAAATAGCACAATTTGATAAATGCTTTCCAGACCCAAATATAAAGATTAATTTGCTTTGCCAATGAATGATTTTATGCATCTGCCCTAGTGTTTTGTTAACGTATAATTTCAGCTACTTTATACCTACTTCAGAACTAGGGAAGTAAAATTCCTGGCAAGGAATTCCATGAAGCAATAGGTTTTTTTCTTAGGGGGAACAAATTTTGGAAAAACTAAAATAACTGCATTTATTACTTGCTTATTGAACCAAAATATTGTTTCACTCAGAATGATAATTATACTATATATAACTTAGCAAAGAGTACTATTAACTATGTGTGTGACATAAATAAATCCTTCTTTTGAACAGAGATGGAACTGCATGCTAAGGTACCTGCATGTAGTTTTTGCTTATTGCCATCTCTGTCAAATTGGGGGACAGGGGAAATGAAATATTGAAAATAGAAAGTATTCGTATTGTTGATTTGTAAACAAAAGAAAGGTTAGGTCATTAGGGCCCAGAAATAATGTAAAGAGAGATGTTTGGTACAGATACAGAAGAAACCTGTGTTTCTAGAGATAAAGCTCAGAGTATTACATACTCATTATAGTACAGCTTGAACTTGTAAGATCTTCATTAGCACTGTTCCTTGAAGAGTCAAGTTTCCCGTGATGGTGTGGAGGAAACAGGAGAAGCACGTTACCTGCTGAGTCAGCATAAGGCGGTGAAGCAGCGACAAAAAATGGGGCTGAGTGACAGGACAAGCGCCAAGGAAACCCCAGCATGTGCCACCAGTGTTTAAAGAGCAGGAACCCTGCGCCCAAGTTAAAAACAGCCCACCTGAGGAGATGAGAGGACAAAAAGTGTGGTTTGGAAGCCCTGGGAGGGGTCAATGATCAAAAGCAGCCTGCTAGTAGCAAACTCACTGAGGCGGCTCAGAGGAACCAAACACCTTACCTGTAGGTTTGTTCTGACAGTTGGGGACAAATGATTGGAA